GCTTTTCCCATGTTATGGGTGGTTGGTTTGTGTGTCAGTTTAGGCATGTACCTGGCAGCCTAAGAACATTGTAGTTACTTCCTCTTCTAAACTAGGCTTTTGAAAAAGCTTTTTTGCCATTGTTTTTGTGTGCTTGTGGGTTTTTTTAATTAGATAAAATAAAAAAAATCTATGTTTCAGCAGAAACTCAGATAGGGTCAGGAAGAGAAAAGGTTTGGTGGTTCCTGTAATTCTAATCTAGAGTTACTCAGTTGTATCTCCTGTTTTCTTTAAATATCTGATTTATCCTTTCAGATATTTAAGTCCTGTCCATTCAGTGTGAACTTGCAGCCAGATATAGATGGTTTGATAGACTGTTCATATCTATCTTTAGACCTTGTGATGACTGAATCTGTATTTGATGCTTTTTCTCTTTTTTATTTTTTGAAGTGATTGCTGTTGGAAAGAATGTGCTGTGTTGCCCTGGAACAGCTAAAAGAGCCATTTGGCGATGCTGAGGTTTCAGCAAATCATATTTAGATTGCTGACATTGTTTTCATGGAAACCAAATAAATTGGTGCCACTTCCTGGGTTTAAAAGATGTGTTCATCTGTTGTGTATTGTAATCGTCTCTTTTCCTCCTTTTCTTCCCCCATAATATTTTAGTGGTTGCTCTGCTTTAGGGACTAACTAGCAACATTTCAGACAGTAATCTTTATCTTTGCCAAGTGGTGTTTATAAAAGATAACTGATAAGGGTTACTTCAGAACACAGCTGCAACACACTGTTGTCTTGCAGGTAGATGTCCAGCATGTGCTGTAATCCCATCTTTGTAGAAAGAGTGTGTTCACAAAGCTCAAGATAATTCATTGTATAGGCATGAGCAAGACTAGTTGAGATGGATGCAGTGTTGTATGGGAAGCTGTTGTAATATCAGGTACCTTGATAAGAATAAGTGGTTTACAAGAAAACACAACTTGTGTGCTGAGGATGAAATGAGTTGGCTTTCCTCAGGAAGGATCATAAGACTGCAGGAGGCACACAGGCTGTTCTCAATCAAACCTTGCTGAAAATGGAACACTTGACAGTTATGAATAAAGTTATTTAACAGTCAACTTCCTGTGGTTTACATGCGTTTCTGAATACTCTATCTGAACAAAAAAAGGGCATCTTCTGCACGCAAAGTGTTTGCTTAAAATCTTATGTTCTGATAGGATTCATATTAATACTGTATGAAAAAAGCAAAAGCTTAGTGAGACCTGACACTGGAAGAGCTTTGAAACTAATGTGTAGACCATTCATTCTGTTGTACTGGGGGTGTTCAAGAAGTTTCCTCTATTGCAGTGTATCAATACGCATGAGAGATGTGCTGAAGCTGGTGTTTGTCACTTCTGTTCACATCTTTGGGCCTATGCTTTAAGCTGAGCAGAAGGAGGTGGACAATGGACAAGGAAGGGTCGATGGTACAGTTCCTGCAGTGTAACAGGGCATTGGTAGCTTGCAACCACACTTCAGGAGCTGGCAGTTCACAACTGCTCAACTGTAAAAATGACTTCAAAGGGTTCACCTGCATTTGAAAAACCAAAGGTTCACTTGTGACTAATTTAAGACTTTCACATCGCTGTATTTCTTTAACTAAATGTTCCAGTTTCCATCATACGTACCCACAGAATATGGGTGTGAAGTCAATGGGAATGAATGGAGAACTACAGAGCTTTTTGATGATGGCAGATCCTGTAGTTTCTCAGTCTCCTATTGATTTTGTCCTTGTTGTGGCTCCTTTGTGGCTTGACAGCAGCAGATTGACTGTTACAGCAGCCACATGGACGTGGTGAGCCACACTGGAGTTGGTGGGGCAGAATGGGGAAGCCCAGGTTTCTGTTTTCTAGTCATGTTGGGTAAACCAGAGGGTTTACAGTTTGTGTCAAGGGAAATTTTAGAAGACAACAACTGTCTGTTGGATACAGCATTTAAATATAGCAAGTCATTGATTTACAGAGTGAGATCTAGTTCTGAATCTAGTATCAAGCAAAAGTAGCCTAACACAGAAGCTGCCTTTGGAGCTGGTGTTGTGAATAGATCAGTTTCATACTCGGTTTTAACAGTTGCTGGCATTAAGGCTTTCATTGGTTGTTGTGTGGTGTTTTTTTCAGTGGGCTTCTGAACGCTGCATACAGCATACAGAGTCACCCCTTTGGAAAAGGATTGAAGTCTTGCTTGGTTGCTTTGTCATGCTGCCTTTTTGAAGCTTGTTTAAAATGGGTCAGAACTGTTCAGTTCTGCAGGAGTGCACTCTGATAACCATCTGTTAGTTGTGATGGTTGGCTGCTCAAGAGTAGCTGTAGTTATCAGAGCTGAGCCTGCTGATCTGAAGATGTCCAGGCCAGATAGAGAATAACCGGAGTCAAGACACTGGCTTGTAGCTGTATGATAGGGGAGGGCTGTCTGGAATGTGATGGAAGAACTGCTGATGGGCTTAGCGCTGTTTTAAGTTCTTGATGCCATGCAAATTGATAAAATCCAATGGCTGAACAACTTTTATCCTTAAATACTGAGTTGAGTCATGGTGACAGCACTTTCTTGGTGTGTCACATTAGTTGCCTGGATAGATTTTCATAAGGGAAGAACTGAGTGAGCTGCAGATGTGGAGGAGGGAAGCTGATATGTCACTGCTTTATTAACCGTATCCTGCTCATAACTGACTGCTTTTAAAGCTTAATCTCATGAGCTTCAGAATGGCCACCTTCATACTTGCCTGCCCTTGACTTCCATACCTGACAGCATGGAAACTAAGCAGTCCCCTTGGTGTGCTTCACTTTTCTGCTCATGTATGGCTCTGGAGCACTGCAATTGCTGCAGGGCCATGTATTTGGCATTCATGTTTTCAGGAAATCCCCTCATTTGGGAAGCTGTTTCTGGGGGTGTTTTGTGACCTTTACAGGCTGTGGTTTACTCCTGCAACTGCTCAATCCATTGCAGTCGTAGTAAGCCCTGGGACTGAAAGGAGATGTAGTAACTCATGCATTCCAGTAGTGTGGAGTTAATGCTTCTTTAGGGAGTAGGCATTGCTGTAGGCAGTATAAAAAAAGAGTTGTCTAAGATTAAAATATATCTCTGCATGTAGCCACACACATCCATACTTGCAGCCTCTGAGGCCCAGGTATTGTAGAACAAATACCTCCACTAAATGAGTCTGAAATCTGCCTGATTTTACATAGTCCTGAGGGGAGGGAGGGTTGGCAGCTCCTTCTAAGGACCTAAAAAAGAAATTAAGCCTGAGCCTAACTTTATTTTGTGTTAATATTCAGCCGCAGACAGTGGTCTTAGTACTTGAAAGGCTTCAATTCTGATCCTGTTCCCCCTGCTTGGGAAGCTTTCATGGATTTGTGCATTAAGGTTGTGTATTTCTATTTTCTGTGGAATGGGAATGCTATTCCTCATACGCTTCCCCTAGACGATTGAGGCTAGAATGGATTTTGGAGTGCTGAAAAAGATGTATGTGTAGAATACTGCTGTCACTGCAAGAGTTGCTGTTCTGTGCCGCTGGCCTTGAAATGGTTGGTTAATGTTAGTGCTGCAGCTTGTCACCCAGAGAGAATCAGTAATGGTAAACTAAACAGAAGGTAAAATAAGGTAGTAGAAGTGTGCTGGACTCTTTCCCTGCAGGTGTGTCAAGCGCAAGGCATGTTTCAACCAGAGTTCTAGTCTTGCCTAATGAAAAGCTGATGTTCAAATTGCACACTGGAAGGTGAGGTGTCTGCTGCTGTTAGGTAACTTTAGGACCTGGAAAACCTGCAAAGGGTACATGCCTTGTGTTGTGTATCTGCCAGAACCCTTTTTGGACTGTTATTTACCTTACCGTACTTCACTGCTGCTTAGGTGACACAGTTTAATGTTGAGGCTTGATATTCTTCATAGATAAGTTCTATTTCAAGTGAAGGGAAGTGATTATCAGGGTGTAACTCTTGTCTCGATTCACATGTCTGGCTTAGATGTAGTCGCCTGGCCCTGGATGCTGCTTGAATTGCTTATCAAGAAAATTCTGTCAGTATTCTTGCTCTTCTATACCCAGAATGAAAACACAGATGGTTTCTTTTCTGTATTTAATATAAAGTAAATAAGTTACAGCTTGGTAACCAAGAGCTTTCAAAAGGAAGCGTGGCTCTGCTGCTGTGTTGATGCTGAGAATCCTATAAAGGTGCTACCTTCCTTTGCAATAGATTCAGTCAGTATGTTACCTGTTGGAAGTGAACTCTGGTTCAGCAGCATCCTTGTAAGAGGCTTTTCCTTCATCCCAGCACCCTGATGGAGTTCTGGAGAGTTGACTGTAGTTCAGGCTTACAGTAGAGAATCTTTAGTTCCATGTTACTGGAGGGATTAAACACTTTGGTTACTATTTGCAAGGAAAAGAATGGCTTGAATCCAGAACATAACCTGTATAGTAGATGTGATATCATGCAGTGTTGCAGTGTGGAGCTTTGTCCATTATTCCCAGAGGAAGGAGGTCTTGTCCAGCTTGGCCTTTAGTAAAATGCTTCATGAGTTGTGGTTTCTCATCCTCTATTCTGCTGGTCATTGGCAGTGCTCAGGGGATTTACCTGCATGAATCGGATCGTATGGCAATGCAGTTATAAATAAATCGTCTGCAGTCATTAATCCTGCACTGAATGCCTGTATGTGCAGACTCCTCAAAAGGTTGAAAGAATTGAACGCAGCTTTTCCTAATGAAGGTGTGGTTCCTTCATTGATGCTCCCTGTGGATAACACTGTAGAATTTACTTAGCAATTCTAAACTGGAAAGAACTATTACAAATGTGCCTACCTATGCTTTTAAGCTCAAATATTAACTGACCTAGAAATAAAACATTAGTTGTGTTCTTAGGAGAGCTGCTTGAGAGATAGTAGTGATTAAAGCTTAAAACACTGATGTCTGGATGTTGGTAAATGAACTGGACTTCACAATGTAAACTCTTGGGATCAAGTGTGCTGCTTATTTAACTAACTGTTTGCTTTGTTTTCAGGGGGAATCTGTAAAGTATTTCTTGGACAACTTGGATAAACTTGGAGAACAAGTAAGTCTTTTGAGTTTCTTTCAGTCTTGGGTTTTAAGCAGTCTTTGTTATCTCTGGGGTTTAAACAGATGAAATGTTATTAGTGTCTACTCAAATAGCTTTAACTTTGACTGTTCCATTATCTCAGCAGTTCATCACCAACATGTCAAAACCAGAGGGCAATGCAAGGGCCAAGAGACTTTCTGGTAATAAAACTTCTGTAGAAATTAAACAAAACCCAAGTTACAAATGCTTGTCCAGTCAAAAGACTATTAATGTAACACTTCAACACTAAATGATACGCAGGAATGAGTGCTTTTGTTTGTACATATCCAGTTAGGAACACCCAGTTAAATTGGTGCATGGGTCAGTGGTACCATCCTGTAGCATCTGCTTCAAAATAAACATATTTGGAACAGAACCAAATCTGTTTTCTCTGGGGGGAAAAAGCTGAACCTTTTGGGTAGCACTCTTGGTTACTGCTTGAATAATGAAGTTGTCTGATGCTCATTAGTTGTGCATTGCAGAAATGGCATGTGGAAAAACTGCCTGTAAAATGGGATGCCAGCTTGAACTCCATGGGGAGGCAGTTTCTCCAAGGTCATTTCCAGCTGATGGCTAACAAATGCTGAAGGAATCCCAACCACTTGAATTGAATCCTGTTACATCAGGCTTAATTCTGTTTTTCTTTTTAATGGAGAAAAAGTTAATTTTAAATTTTTAACTGTCATTTTTTCTGATTAAAGCACTGGTGATTACCTTGCAGTATCCATGTGCTTCCCAGATACCTCACTTGAAAGCTCCAGCTCTTACTCCTCAAGTTTTGATTTGGTCTTGAGTTACACAGCAGTAGGAGAGCTGGACTCGCTTTAGTGAACTGCTCAGCTTTCTTCTAATGGTGGATTTCTCATGAGTTTTGAACCCAATGCCCCTTGAGTTTTGGTTTTTGGTTTGGTTTTTCTGCCCCTGCACATTTGGGTAAAGATTTTTGCATCTTCTTTTCAGCGTTCTTTATTTAGAACCTTTGGTCCATTCCTTGATTCAAGCCTGAAACTTGAAGTCACTGTGTTTTCTTTTCTATTTTTATATGCACACACACTTATTGTAGGTTTGGTGTTGCTGTGGGAATGCTGAGCTCTGAATTACAGCGTTTCCCGTTTAAAGCTAGCCCAAATGATGTTGAGATACAGGATCCTTCAAGAGGGATCCTTCAGGATCTGCTGTCATAGAAAATGTTGGGTCTGTGTGGACAGTTTTGTTATAGAGTGAAAGATTTGATGGGTTCTTCTGGTTTAATCTTACCTATATGCAAGATTTGTCTAATGATTATTGCCCCAAACTATATATTAATGTAAGTACTTTACTGTTCTTATCTGTTCTCTGACACAACTGAATTGCTTATAAACAGATAGACTTGCAATTCATGTGCCTCTTGGCCAACGGGAGCAGATAATAACAGTGAGTAGGGAAAAGAACTTTAATGTTCAGATTTAATCAGATCAGCAAAATAGAAGGAGCTGGCTGGGATCAGCTGGATTCCTGCATGTTTGTTGTTGTTTCATCTGCCAGCACAGACTATATGTGTCCAAAATATAGAGACACATCACTTCCCATGTTGTGACTGCATCTTATTCGTGCTTTACATTTTAACTATGGAAACAGTGATGTGATAGTTAAGAGAACTACCTCATAACCAAAAGAAGGCCTTTAGAGGAAAAAAAGAGTAGTGAATTTGAGGAAGAAAGGAAGAAAGCACATGTTTGGAGTCGGTATCAGTGGATCCTTGGGAAGAGCTGCACAGAAAATAAACCAAAAAACCCAATAACCCCCCCAGAAACAACCAAACAAACCAAAAAAGGGTGAGGGTGAAGAATGGAATGGAATGGACCTTAAGATGTCAACAGTCAACATGAAAGACAGGGCAGAGTGTAGAAAAGGAATGTGCCCTTTAGGATGCTTGCAGGAAAAGTACTGACTGACAGTGGCAAAACACTGAAAGGACTTGGATAATACTCAGTTCTATCCAAGGAAAATACTCTCCTAATGCTGCAGTCTTTCAGTAGGGAGAATGGGATCTACAGTGAGAAAGGGGCTCATTCAGAATTGCTGTAATGTCAAGCTGCTGGTATCCCAAGGATCTGGGCATGAGGAAGAAAACATCATTATCATTACAAAAGACAAGTAAAATGCTGGAGCTTTCTTAGGAGTTGTTGTTTGGTCTCCTGTAGCCAGATGAAGGCTGTACACCCAGCACTTGGCTTCAGTGCACTCACTTGCAGGCTGGTGCATAAGAGCAGCCATCATCTGGTATAAAACATGGTAGGTCTTCTGTGCATGGAGAGCTTGAGAGCACTTGAAAGGATTTTATTTGTGGTTCCAAGTGTGGAAGGAATTTTAAATGAGTAATAATACTTGAGAGGGAATTTGTCAGGAATTTTAGGGATAAGCTGCTTGTTCTTGAAAGCTTTACTGAATAAACATTACAGGCCAACTCCCAGGAGAGTTTTCTTTGTGCTCTTGTTTCAGTACTGAAGGTATAGATGGCTTTGCCTTTCATATTAATTGATTTTATTTATTTACTTCAATAATCTCGGTCGCTCCTGAGCCTTCCTAAAACTCTCTAGTTTTGTTTTGAGAACTTGAGACTAACTTCCTGAATAACAAAAGATGCTGCATTCCTGTCCGAAAGATGGAACCTGTGACATCCTCTTCCCTAGGTGTTAACAGTCACCTTAAAATCCCCTCACATGTGCTCAGTGACATCTGATACAGTCATTGCTCTGTTCTCTGATTGTTCTTCCTCTCTAACAGTTTTTTGGTAGAAAAGACCAAAGATAAATTTAACAAAGAGAAAAATCTCATTACCCTTTAATGCTGCTTCTTTTAGTCGGGGCCCTTGACTGATTTGCAGGTGCCCATTGCTTGGTTTGGGAGGACCATGATGCTACTTTTGCAGTTCAGCTCTCCTGCAGATTGAGATGGTTCTGGCTGTGGATGTGTAATAGTATAGCTGTAATAGTACAGCAGCAGAATGTGCAGGGTGGGAGCCTGTGCTTCAGAGCTGCTCTGTAATTCCTGCCACGATAAAAATCAGTGCCTTAGTCATGGGCAGCTCCAGGAAAGAAACACAGGAGTTCAAACAACAGCAGTCTCTGTAGCTGGTTTCACTTTTGAACTTACATCGTACACTAAGTGATCTCTGAATTTTTGGAACATTACGCTCCCTAAGTTTTAACATTACTTTCTTAAAGGCTGTGGATCAAACTTGCCCAGATGCCTTACACTTGGAGTACCAGTATTTAAGCAGCTATGTAGTTCTGTGCTTGTTCCCCTGCCCCAGCTCACTAGTTCAGTTGGGCTTTGTGGACCCAGGTCTTACACGTCCTTGTAAAAAGTCCAGGTCTGGCACTGTCAAAGGAAGAGTGTAGATCACTCACTAAGAGGAGACTAAAATTCTGGAACTGAAGTCACACTCTGAAGTTGTGAGAAATGCTGGAAAGGGGTAAGGAAGAGTTTCCATAACAAGTGAACAACAAAGCTTTAAACTTCAGCGTCAGCCAGCTGCCTCTTAGAGATGTGCTCTTTAGACAGCAGAAAGCCTTGGACCATGTGCCAAAGTGTAACTCAGGGTGAAGAAATCCCCTATACAAGTCTTGAATTTCAGTCTGTCGAAAGCTGACTAATAAGAATTCCTCCTCCTGTTAACATCTGCATCTGTTGATAATGACCAGTCATGTAACACTGAAACAAGCAGTGAAAAACCTACTTATCCTGCCTGTTTAATTCTGGGGGAAAAGGTGAGCTCCTAGACTGTCCTACTGGCAAGAGGCTGCTCTCCTCAGCTGCTAGTTTCTTCTCCTATTCTACCAGTTGCATAGTATGTTTTGGGCTACGTTTTGAGCTCCCAGATGTGGCACGTAGCTGATAGAAGTGACTTTTTGGACCGATATGATGTGAAAGATCCATGGCAAGAGCAGAGAAAGTTGCTTAGGTTGTGCATTTCTGCCATAATTGCCTTAAAACCGACTTAGTGGAGTAGTTCTTTTTCCTGGAAGCAGTCATGCAGTATGCAGGAGAACATGGGAGGAATGGAGCACCCACGCTTAGAATGGGATACTCCCGTGGTTACAGATTGGAGAAACCTGCTTTAGACCCCGACTGCTGCATTGCAGTGTTGGCAGCCAGCGTGTTTCCCAGCTTTGTGGGAAGAGGATGACTGAAGCAGAAAGTAATCCAGAATGAGGGAAACTGGCATGAGGAACTGATGGTGCGGGTTGTTTATGGATCCTTGTCATGTGGCAAATGGAAAGCTTCAGTTCTCTGGGATCCATGTTTGATTAATATGGGGTGTGTTTCCTGCTTTGGATGCTAGATCTTTCCAAAATGCTTCAGTGTCAGCATATAAATACGCATTCGTGTGTATGTTTATTCAAAACCTTGTGCTGTTCCTCTGCCAGCTTCTCTCTCAATGGCAACTCAGTTGTGATCACCACGCCTGCACCTTGTACCCTAATCAGCAAACTCTCCTTGATGTCTCTTTCAGGATTACCTTCCCTCACAGCAGGACATCCTGCTGGCCCGGAAACCTACAAAAGGGATTCACGAGTACGACTTTGAAATCAAAAACGTCCCTTTCAAAATGGTTGATGTAGGCGGCCAAAGGTCCGAACGGAAGCGGTGGTTCGAGTGCTTCGACAGCGTCACATCCATACTCTTCCTCGTCTCCTCGAGTGAGTTTGACCAAGTGCTGATGGAGGATCGGCAAACGAATCGCCTGACGGAGTCCCTGAACATTTTTGAGACAATAGTCAATAACCGGGTGTTCAGCAACGTCTCCATCATCCTCTTCTTAAACAAGACGGACTTGCTTGAGGAAAAAGTAAAAAAAGTGAGCATCAAAGACTATTTCCCCGAGTATGAGGGGGATCCCCACTGCTTAACAGATGTCCAGAAATTCCTGGTGGATTGTTTTCGTACCAAACGCCGGGACCAGCAGCAGAAGCCCCTCTACCACCACTTCACCACTGCTATTAACACAGAAAATATCCGGCTAGTTTTCCGTGACGTTAAGGATACCATCCTTCATGACAACCTCAAGCAGCTTATGTTACAGTGATGTGCAAAAAGACAGTTTTATTTGAGTAACTTTTGTGTGTTGTTTTTGGTTTTTTTTTTAACTAGGAAGTTTACAGCAGGAGTAGAGAAATCCAGATCCTGTCAGACTTCTCGATACGTGGCTAAAAGCTGCTGCTGAACACATTATTGCCAATTTCTGCAGAAATTCAGGCTTAATCTCTTCCAGTGTAGCTTCAAGTTGACTCCAGTTGTAATTTTATAGCAGATCTATGTCTAAGTACCTGTAAAGTGATAAATCTGACCTTTTATGAACATATATATTATTATCCTAGGAAAAAAATCATTCCACCTTCAGAATTCCAAGTCCAAAGTTCAGCGAAATTGTTGCAATTGTTAGACTGTGGCAGTAATTTAAGGGGGAAGAAACTCTTCACATCTAACTCTGTTATGAAGACTGTGATACCATAGCTGACTTATGATTTCTCAGGTCTATTGTTGGTTAGAAATCCCATAAATCCCTTGCTGGAATCATCTCTTTGAAGCTAGGATTCCCGGGTGTAACGTCCTTCCTGTTTAAGTACTGGTCTTTGCATGGGGTTTGACTAGGAGATGGTTTAAATATACTTAGGTTGGGAGCTTTGGCCAGTCCTGGCAGGAAGTACAACCGCAGGCAGAATTCCAGCGATGAGGAATTAATGAATGGCACAGTACACGGTTTCACTCTACTGCATTGTACCGACGTCTTGGAGCCATGGCAAAGCACAGAGCACTGTGATATGGTCCTCTTGAGAGTCTTACATGGGAAGGGGGGAGCAAGCTCAACTTGTATTTATCTTCACTAACCAGATACTACATGTAGGTACCTTACCCTGTTCTTGAAGCGCTTTAATATAGCACTGGTTTATCTTTACTTTCTTCATGACTTACAGAGTGCCTCATCTTAAGCAGTAGGCATGTGGTGATGGATAGAAGGACTTGCAAACCTAAGTGCCTCCTTGTGTTCTGCCCTATGGTATTTCCAGTGGCCTTATGTGAGCATCCGTGTTCCCAGCAGAGGCCTTGTGTAGCTGACACCATGAAGATGAATGTTTTCTTGTGCAGAAAGAACATGTCACAGCAGAATGTGCTTCAGCTGATGAGGTTCTTTCTGACACATCCCAATTGGGTCTAGCAATCCTAAGTGTACTTGAGCCAATACGTTGCACAGCGTACTCCAGAGTACTGCTTGTGACTAAGAGTATCTTACCAGAAGTTCCAATGCAGGGTTGGTTTTTGTTGGGGGGGGGGCTGGCTAAGGGGGAGGATGTTACCGTTGCCACGTGATTTAAAAGAATAATACAAAATACTTCTTTTGCCCAGAAATTCTCATACATTACCCAGCATACATCCTGCAAAAGGAGAGTAAGCTTTTGTCAGCTTAAAGTGTTTAAAGAGCAGGTTTCCCCCAGGCTGTAGTGTCATGTAGGCAGTTCAGCTGGCCACTTTCCCTATGGAACAGACCAATTCCTGTGGATCATGATGCTGGCCAATACTTTAAATGAATTTTTATTAACATAGCACATGTGGCAAGTGGTGTGACATCATGTTCTCACTGCTTGGAGCAGTGTCCCTGCTAGGATGTAGGAAAGCCGCCTGTCTTCTGAACTTAGCCTTTACTTACTGTGATTGTAAGTTGTATTAACATCTCTGTACCTCATTCCCCTGTCAGTAGAAGGGGAATAGTGTATTTTTATTTAGTTAGGTGCTTTGAAAGACCTCTATTTTTTATATCATCCAATGAGTAGTCATAGGTTAGTCTGCGATTCCTGCCATAAGGCACTATTTTGGGAGGAAGGAATTCTGAAAAGAGCTTGGGAGGAGTCACAGTGCATTATCTGAACGTAAGTGTAAAGTCTGGGTGCAGCACTGATGTCAGGAGGATTAATAGCATCTTTAGGTGGGGATATTTAAGGTTTTGCCTCTTTACTGGACATGGATATGATGGTTACTTCTGGTTTGATGTATTCAGGTCGTATGTGAGCAATTCAAGAGGATGAACTAGAGATGTCAAAAAAGGCTGCTGAGACTATTTAAGGGATTAGACAAGAAGCACGTAATGGGAGTCCAGAAGTTCTCCATTTCTCTCATTGGAGAAGGATGATCTGTTGAGCTATAAATGTTACATGAGCAGACACCAAACCTCTGCATAGCCTCATAGTCCAGTGTTGGAAAGCAGAAGCTGATCAAGTCCATGCCCTCATTAGTCAACAAGAGGAGTAGGTTTGGTTCTCCCCTTTGCTGACAGTTGTCTGAACAAGTGTCTTTATGAAAAGAGACTTCTCTCTGCTCTAATTACAGTGATTAATTTGGAGAGGTCTCTAGTATGTGTGTTGCAGGATGGCAGACCAGATGCTGCAGAAATGACTAAAACTGGATAGCAGATGATAGGAAAACAACCAGGAATTTGTCTAAACAAAATTGTTTATGTAAAACATTGATGAATTTTGTGTCAAGGGACCTGCTAATTTACTAAAGATCCTCAAAACTGATGTCAGTCAAAGGGTGTATCAGTATCACCAAGGCACTGGGTACTCAGCAGGCTTCTCCCCTCAACCAACACCAAATAAAACGGTTTTAATGCTTTTTAGATCACTTGCCCTGTGAACACCAGGGCTGGTAACATAGCGACGTGGCCCCTGCAGTGTTGGGCCATTCTGGCAAAGCAGGCCCTGGTAGATAAGCACTATATGAATCTCAGGCAAAAATTAGTTATTTTAATGAAATTGAGTCAAATCACTTGTGTTTCCCACTGCCGCTTGTGTAGAGGGGGCGAGGGAATGGACCTTGCTGTATCTCTTTACATGGTTCCTCTGTTCATGCTGGCTAAACTGAATCAGTGTTTGGTTTTTCCATCTTCAGCCTTACTCTTCATTAGCTACCTGAGAAAGGGCACAGGGTGTACTATTGTTTGTCTTTCTTTTCACAATGGTTTCTAAATATTATGTGTTTATAGTAGAACATCATTTTGGTACAAAAGCTGAAGGACTGATGTTTTGAATCAATTTTAGCCTGAAGCAAAGAAATGAATCTCAGTTGGCTAGTAAAGAGTGGAGCCTGCTCATGTAAATCAGTCTGTGGTACAAGGTCAGAACATACTTCTAGTGAAGGTGGGAAAGCAGGTGGAAAATCAGGTTTCCCCAGACTCCCTTAGTTCTCTTTGATGGAGCGATCACTGACCATATGGAGATATACCACTGTCTCGTACAGCTTTCCTGTACTTGAAGGTGAAATTGGTGTTTTAGCGACTGTTCCCTGCTGCAGCGTGTTTGATTTGTTACCTGAAAACTGTGGCTGTTCAAAGTTTTACTTTTTTAATGTATTTTATGTGGGAGCTTAAGCCATCAGGTTGTGTAAAACTAAAGCTTTCTTCTCGAGTATCTGCTCTTAACCAAGTCAGGCGGGTTCATCGATCTCAAGGGCTGTATATGGGACTCATTTGTCTAGTAAGTAGCTTCACATCCTGCCCATCAGAGTGATTGGAGCAGACTGCTCAGGTCGGGTGGGTGCTTCAAGCTTCATGACACTTGGCTCATCATCATACTCATGATCAGTCCCAGATAGGTTGGTCCTGCTGTGTCTGCTCCATGTTGGGGAGCACCTCCCTGCTGAATGCCTTGGAACCAAGGATGTTCAGCATGTCCCTTGGCCATTGGAACACTCCTCTGGGTATTCCTCTTTCAGGACGGTTGCAGAAGGTTCATTTCCAACAGTTCCTGTTCCAGATGGATCAGACGTTTCATGTCATACCCAATGGTTCCCCAGTTAACTTTACAGGTCTGTTTGATGGTACCAGTAACATAGTTTGGTTTTGAATTACACAGCATTGCAATCCAGTGCCATTTTGCAATTTCTTTGCCTTGTACTTGAACAGAAGTGGAATTGCAGACTATTTAAATGCGCTTTCCTGCGCTTCCAGTAGCAGTGAGAGCTTACCTGACGTGAAGCCTTTCTGTAAAAACTCCTTTTATAACAACCTCATAGATCTTTAACAAACCCCGGATTTGTATTAGCTTTGTATAAATGTTTGTGGCTTACAATTTTATATGTTTTAACTTTTGATAAACTTTCCAGGGACTACTTTTTATTGTAAATTGGGTTTTTTCGTTGTTGGTTTTCTCCTTGCTTTAGGTTCAGATTGGCAATAAGTTATTTCTAAGGGAGGTCTTAGAGAAAAGCATCACTTCCTTTTTTTATAAGACGGTTAAATTGAATAGTTTCACACCTCTTACACTCGCTTGTACATTGCTCTGTACATACCCTCAAAGTGTTGCCTTTCAGCTATTAATATTTGCCTTGTGTACAAAAATTACTGATGATGAATAAACATATACAGCCTCACTTGGTATTATGACATTGTTTTCAATAGAGGCAGCCAAGTGACTGCTGGCTGGCAAAGAGCAGGGATTGCTCCTGCCGCAGCTTGCGTTTCACATACATTATGTACTAAATCTGGACTCTTCAGCTCTTTGCTAAAGGGCTCCACCTGATTTGCTTTCTGCAGTAGAGAGGCAAAAGGAAATTGCTGACTTGCATCTCACAACCAGTTTGGCACTCAGTGTCTAAAATATTGATGCCCCTTGTGTGTGGTGTTGCGTAAGTGGCCAGAACTGTGTAAATGATGTATCACGGTACTGGTCCTTTCCAGCACAAACCATCTGTGCTCTTAACAGGTTGTGTTTGGTTGGGGCTTTTCAGCCCAGTATTACAAGGGTAATTGCATCAGGGTTCACCAGGGTTTCTAGTTAAGCTCTTGTTGGCTAAAGCTCTCATTAGGAATGGGTAAATGGTGGTGGACCCTTCACAGCACCTCACAGACAATGATAACGCAGTGTGGAGAGCTGAAGGATGGGCAGGGAGGGAGCCTGTTCCAGGATTCCTGTGAGCGAGTTTCAAGGAAGTTTCTTCACATTCACAAAGCTCTTGATTTAACAGAACACCTCATTGCATGTGCTGCTGCATTCAGGTTGGGTTTTCAAGCCTCTTCCTTCCTGTTAGAGTAACTGGCTGGTGACACAATAACTGACATAAGGGAACGAAAGCGGAATGGAGCTGTGCTGAGCTCCCTTCCAGCCCAAACCACTCTGCAATTCCACGATCCTATGAAAGGAGATGTGTGCTGAAGCTGGAGCACTATGCTCCCTGCCTGTGCATCCAGCAGAGCCGCTGCCTGGCTCTGCAGAGGAAGCCAAGAGTTTGATGAGTTGGTGAGCACTGGATGTGACAAACCTGGATGTGGAGCAGGCTGTTGGGAGCCGCTTCCGTGCCTGCGGCCTCATGCAAAGGTTAATGTTTAAAGCCTGTGTGCTCCCTGGCACTGGCTGTGGCAGCAGGTCTGTGTGTGCTGTTCCTCAGGCAGGGAGGAGGAGGCAGGAACATGTTTGCAGCGGGTGCAGCAAGTGAATAAATCCCATTACTCTGCTTGGATGGGTCGAAACATGGTGACCCAGTGAGATGATGCTGATCTGTGCAGTGGTGTTTATTGATTTAGGGCTTACAGAGCAGGAGGAAGCACAAGGTCCTGTGCATCCATTGCTATCCTGTTCCCCACTCCCTATTCCAATATTCAATATAATGGATCATGGATCTTGCGTGGATAAAGGATGCTGACTTCTTTCCCCATTGGCTTTCTCCCAGTGACAAACACTGATGCTTCGAGCCTGAATCCCTGCTTGGTTTCCAGTTCTCTCCTATCCAGCACCAGGCCAAGCCTTGGATGGCTTTTCCCCACATAGCATGCTCTGTGCTCTCCTCTGTTCACTCTCCTTTTGCCTGCAGCATGGAATAAGTCAACTTCTCTTACGCAGAACCAAGCCACCCACCCCTTATCAGATTCAAAGGGGAAGCCGTAGTGGAAAGGACATGTTTTTAACCTTACC